GTGAATGTATCTGCAGCCATAGAGTCGGTAGGACAATAGATGATTTCGGCTTCTTTTGATTCGACAACCTGGCGGATGTAGTGGAATCGAACCCGGGTCTCCTGGTTTGTACTCAGGCGTGCTAACCATTGCACTATCTGACCTTAGCTAAGTGCGTGGGTTATCCAACTCCATCACACCCCCTTAAGCCACGATCTTAGTGACCTCAGGGACCAGTTATGCCGACCGGTGTGCACCCCCTTAGGGTCATGCCTCTTCCGGGTGTTCCTGCTACCATGATGTCGGTAAGTCCCATCCGATTAATGATATCATGGATGTAGGTATTCTGGCTGAGCTTAATCGTTCTTGATTGTCGATCTCGAGTAATGTGTATACCCAGTAGCCAGTTGATCTCTCCAAGATCCACGAGTTCGAAGTGCTTGTTCAGTCTTTTGATAAGATCATCAATATTGGATTCATGATTTGCAATGATTGTGAAGTCATCAGTTGCCACTCCGATGATGATGTAGCTTGAGTTCGAGAACTGGTAGAAGACAGCAGTGTCGGCTTCAGATACTTTGAAGTCGAGATCCGTGAAAGTCTTCTTCAGATGCTGATACCATAATCGACCACCTTGTTTCGTTCCATAGAGGCCCTTGTTGAGCTTAGCCACAAGATGTTGACCAGGATTAGCCTTCTTTAGATTAGCGAACTCGGTGTCGAATTCGGTATATCTTGGTGGTAGCTCCATGTAGACATTTTCGGTCATAGGGGCATTGAGATAGGCATTCTTGACATCGGCTTGTCGAATAGCATCATTCCTAATTGCTGCCATGGCTAATAGTGCTCGGTGTGTAGTTGGCTTGATGACTGGTGCATAGGTGTCATAATAGTCGATCCCATGTCTCTGAGTGAATCCTCGAGCAACGAGTCTGCCTTTGTACTTAGTCGGAATTCCATCCTTATCTATCAGGGCACACAATACTAGACACAAGACTGTCCGCGATAGTGGTCCGAGACGAGACGAGATTGTCGACAGATCGGTAGTAGAGTCGAGAGAGAACGAGGTGAGAAAGCAGAGCACCGAGATATCGCGAGAGAATGTCTGACAATATCGCAAAGGTCGCAAAGGTTTCGATAAGAGGTACGCGATCTCGATGCCTAGTTCAACTACACAAGTATTGTGGAGGATCCTAAGAGATCAGATCTAAGGCGAAACTACGATACTGCCCGGTACTATATACGAGAGGGACGGAAGTATTTCGAGACTGTGGCTGAGGATCTGTACAGTAGGGTTAGCTTAGGGTGGGTCTGCGATACCTTGGTCGATATGATCGATAGTCCCTGATGCTTCGAGATGCTTCAAGATTGTCGATATGACTTCGATAGTGTCGATCCCTGACATCACCCCCCCTTCAAGGCTCATGGTCCCCATGAACTTGCCTTCTCGTGGTTGATCGCTGAGTTCCGTGCCCATTACTCTGTTTCTTGGTGTTTCGGCCTTCTGTCCAGTCAAAGAGAACCTGTTTCGGTGGGTCGGTAAAGTTCTCGATGGGCCGAAAGCAGAGTTCGTGGAAGTCGAGAGCTGCAATTTCGCGAGGTGCTTCTGGATATCTCTTGTGGAACTCACGAATTGCCCGAGCTGCCCTACCGAGATTCTCCTTTGGCTCCCATGTACTTTCCG